TCTACATGGATAGTAATTTAGCCAGAAGAGAAGCAGTGAAGGAAACAGAAGGAAATGGCCAGAGGCAGGAATTGAAACCAGAAAGTACAATATCATGGAAGCAAAGATAAAACAGAAAATTTCTGGAAGAGAGAAAAGTCTTGGAAAATCTAAATAAGGACTAAGGAAAGAGCACTGAATGTGGTTGGCAAGATGTCACCAGTTTCATGGAATGACCTTCACTCTACAACATGTGTGCCTGGCACAGTACTGGGTTTCCCACGCCTGAGGGAACTGGGGAGAGGCAGGAGTCAGGTTAGAAAGCATTAAGAATTAAACAGTGAGACTGGCTGGTGTGGCTCAGTGGCTGAGTGTTAACCCATGTACCAAGAGGTTGCTGGTTCAATTCCTGGTCAGGGCACATGCCCAGGTTGTGGGCCTGACCCCCAGTAGGGGGCATGCAGGAGGCAGCCAATCAATGTTCTCTCTCATTGATGTTTCTATCTTTCTCCCTCTTCCTTTCTCTCTCTCTAAAAAAAAATAATAATAATAAAATGTTTTTTAGAAAAAGAATTAAACAATGAGTAAGATAGACTTTCATTAAGAAATTTTGGGGTAAAAGGTAGGAATGAAGTAAAATGATAGACTGAAAAAACAAAATAAAACAAAAAACCCAGAGCCTAAAAATGAAAAACCAATTGTGTTTTAAAAATTTTATATATTTAGAGAAAAATGGAAGAAACCAGGGAAGACGGAGAGATAAGATGCAGTCATGGCAAGGCCCAAGAGAAGGCAGGAAGTAAGAGACCACGTTGCTAGGGAGTTTAGCCTTGGAAGGGAGTTTAGCCTTGGAAGGGAGAAAGGGATGAATATAATCCTCTAAAGTAGATAGAAGGGAGCCGAGCATTGTAACATGTCCCTCTCTTTTAAGTAACAGTGGACACGAACCCAAGAGTCTAGGGCTGCCATAGAAGATTGTAGACCTCATAGACCTCACAGAGAAATATAGAGTGTGGACCACCTGGAACTTTTGCCAGCTAAATACAAAAACCTGATTAATATAATAAACATTCATATTACAGTGGAATAGTAGATGCAAGTGTAACAAATAGCTCCATTGTTAGCAAAACAGCAAAATTTGTAGAGTCGTTCACCGCTTAACAGCGTTTTGGTCAACAATGGACCACTAATACGGGAGATTGTGATGAAGCTGGAAATCCCTATCACCTAGTGACACTGTAGCCCTCATAACGCTGTAGTGCAACGTATTACTCATGCTTGTGGTGACACTGCTGTAAACAAACCTACTGCACTGCCAGTCCTATGAAAGTACAGCCCATACAATTATGTACAGTGCATAATGCTTGATAATGATAATAAATGACTATATTACTGGTTATGTATTTACTATACTTTTTATTGTTGTTTTATAGTGTATTCTTTCTTCTTATTTAAAAAAGGTTGCTGTAAAAGAGTATGTCGTGGCCCTGGCCGGGTAGCTCAGTTGGTTAGAGTGTCGTCCCAATATACCAAGTTTGCAGGCTCTCTGGTCAGGGCACATACAAGGAACAGCCAACAGGGGCAGGAAGACATTAACCAAAGAACTTATATGCATAGATGCGTGACCCATGGACACAGACAATAGTTCGGTAAAGGCCTGGGGGTCGGGGAGGCGGAGGGGAGCAGGGTGGAGGGGGGTAATGGGGAGAAAAAGGGAATATCTATAATACTTTCAACAATAAAAATACATTTTAAAAAATACTAAGCAAAGAACAACAAAAGAAACAGCCAATAAATGCATAAATAAGTGGAACAAATTAATGTTTCTGTTGCTCTCAAATCAATAAATAAAAATTTAAAAAAAAAAAAAAAAAAGAGTATGTCGTGTTATGCCAGCAGCATCCTCATCTGGTATTTACATCTCCACCTCATCTGGTGTTTACATCTCCTGATTGCGTCATCTTGGCTTGAGCTTGATTTAATCTTATGTTTTGTATAGTGACATGCTGTACAGGCTTATAGCCTAGGAGCAATAGGCCATGCCATACAGCGTAGGTGGGCAGTACTGTCCCATCTAGGTTTGTGTAAGTGCACTGGAGGACATTTCAACAACAAAATCGCATAATGACACATTTCTCAAAATGTATCTGTCATTAAGTGGTGCATGACTGTATAGCATTTAAGTGATATTTTAAGAACTGAAAATATAATAATGTCCAAAGATGATATAAAGAAAGCTTCTACAGTCTCTAGTTGTTCGAAAAATACAATTAATTTTTGTAGTGTAAGCTTATAACCAAACAATCTTCAATATCTTGATTTGGTATCTCAAACTCAAATACTCATGAAAATAATGTGTAAGAATATTTATTATACATAAGTCTATTAACATTTCAGACCCGAGGACAATTGTACATTTTATTTTCTTATCACAGAAGGCATTACCATACAATTCAGGTTAACAAGATGGAAGTATGGCAAGAAACACCACATATCAGTGGAGTGCTACGTTGCAGAAAATTATTCATTAGAAAGAAAACAAATGCATGTTTTAAGACACCTGCTAAACGTCAAAACTTAAATTAAGACTATTTAAAATAAGATCATAAATATCACTGCTAACTTTGCCCCCCAAATTATGGGGCTGACTATTGGTATTATCAAAATACATATATTTTTTGTTCAGATAGAGCGGGAGGGAGAGAGAGAGAGAGAAACATCGATGTGAAGGGACACATCGAGTGGCTGCCACCCGCACGACCAACCAGGGCCGGGGACAAACTGCAACCGAGGTATGTGCCCTTAGCGGGAATCGAACCCAGGTCTCTCCGTACCGCAGGCCGACGCTCCAACCGCTGAGCCAAACCGGCCAGGGCAAAATACATATTTTTGATGCCTGGCAACAATAGTTCCCTGCAGAAATCCTACCAGTTGTTTCTGGAAGGGAAGAAACCAGTTTCATGGGCCAAAATGCTCAGGCTACCTCAGTGAGAGTTCCATGGTGCCCGTTCTATTACTGGCTAACTGGACTGCCCACGTATAAGTAACCTTATAGGCTTCAAATCGTACAGAGAAACAGTTTCATGATTGCGTCATATTTACCTGGGGACCCAGATCCCAAGTTGAGATTGTCCTTGGCTCTCAAAACAAGATACTAAGAATGGATAGAAAAGACTGTACTCACGAAGGCCTAGCCACTGTGTCTGCCCACCATATATATTTACGGAATCCACAAAGCTGTGACTTTCTAGATGAAATCTCTGCAGGTGGAAAGTAGCACTATTGGCAATTAAAGTCTGAAGGCCAAGTCTGGAGACAGGTTTCTGCGGTGAATCAGAGCTGAAGTAGCACACTACTTCAGTCACAGGCTGAGCATAAAAACAAGCCGAGAGCAGGAGGGGAGAAGGGAACAAGGAGGGAAAGAAGGTTTGGGGAAGGTCACGAGTGGGTACAGAGGCCATGAGGGATTGAGAGATGGAATGACAAGAATGGGCAGCCAAGGAAACTTCGAAGTCTGAGATCTCCCAGGGTAACACTTTCTGTGAAGCAATTCAAGGGCAAGGTTGTATGCATTGCATTAGAAGTGAGAATCTTGAAGCAGGTCAACTCAAAACATGTAAAAATAGGAGAGGAAGAAAGCTATAGAGTCTGTGCAGTGATAAACCAGCAGGCTGGCTAACAACTGGCCAAAAAAGAGGAAGTAGATGTTATAAAACTTGGGAACAGGATGTTGTAGCCAAACTCACAAAGGAATGAAGAAAGGTAAGAGAAGCAAGGTGATCCTGATTTTTGCTTTCATTAAAGTTCTACAAAAACCAGATGCTGATTTTTTACTTCAAAAAATATTTATATTGTTTGCAGCGATGAGGATGGCAGGATTAAAGAATGAAAACAGCTTTGTCTTGACCATATGTAACACGTTTGGACCTTATATAATGTTTAAAAGTGCCTCACATCAGTAATGAAAAATTCAGATGACTTTCTGGTCCTTCCACTGACCCAGCAAAGTTACCCTGAAATCCCTGGAAAGTACACGCTTTCTCCTTGACTGACTGCCACATATCAAGTGTAAGGGCAATAATTGGGACCAAATTCTATGAACGTGGGATGGCTACCAAAATGTGATCACATACCTGGCCTCACAGCACCAAACAGCACAAATACCTCTTTATAAAAAAATCCCCTTTAGTACAAAGAAATGTTACAAGGTTTTGTGATTTTCAAGGATTTTTAAACCACACTTGTCAATAACTATCTAGGTAGGTATATTATAGCTTATACACTTACGAAGCAAAGAAAATCAGTTCACATGTGAGCTGACCAAAGATATCATCACATATTAATGACATGTGAGAAACATTATTAACTTCTACCCTCGAAAGCACAATTAGGTCCTGGCCGGTTTGGCTCAGCGGTTAGAGCATCAGCCTGCGGTCCAGAGAGACCTGGGTTTGGTTCCCGCTAAGGGCGTGTACCTCGGTTGCAGTTTGTCCCCGGCCCTGGTTGGTCGTGCGGGTGGCAGCCACTCGATGTGTCCCTTTCACATTGATGTTTCTCTCTCTCTCTCTCTCTTCCTCCTCTCCTCCCACTCTATCTGAACAAAAAATGGAAAAAAATGTCCTCAGGTGAGGATAAAAAAAAAAAATAACACAATTAGTTGTCAGGAGCATTTGAAAAAACATAACATAAATCAAAGACCTTCCTTGAGAAAGAGGCTGTGGATGTCAGGTGGTCCAATTTACATATTAGAAAGCTAAGGCACAATGAAGTTCAACACCTCAGCTGAAGGCCACACAGCTGCTGGTGGCCCAGCTGGGACAAGAACCCCACACTCAGCTCCCTCAAAGCCCTTCTCCCCCCGCCTCCACCCACCCCAAGGTACAAATGTCTGACAGAGCTGTGTGGGACTTCCACGTAAAGTGCTCTTTTTATAGTATAAAATGACAAAATCTAAAAAATAAGAATGAGCAGAAATTAAGAAAAATATTTGCTTGATATAAAATATTAATTCAAAACTATACCTTTACTGCTTCTGATGAAAGTACATTTTCCTTTTTCTGACTTGTACCCATGGGCTCATTTTCAACACTGAAAAATAAAAACCACAATTTCTTTTGAAATTAAAAGAGAATTACTAAAATCCAACAGTTTCTGTTTAAAGCAAACAATGAAAGGTCCTTTACCTGCAACGCTCAAGAGATTCATATACAAATTGTTATACTAAGAATACGCTGATTTTAATCTCTACACTTGAAAAAACATTAGAAAATGCTCATCCAGAAAAGGTGAAGGAATGAAGATGTACAAATTGCCAATTATTAAAACAGTCATGGGATGTAAAGTACAGCACAGGGAGTATAGTCAATATTACTGCAATTACTATGTACGGTGTCAGATGGGTACTAGATTTACTGGGGAATCACTTTGTAAGTTACAGAAATGTCTAACCTAAATTTGGTGTACACCTGAAAATAATATTGTATGTTAACTGTAACTGCAAGTATTTTTTTTTTTTTATCCTCACCAGAGGACATTTTTCCATTTTTTGTTCAGGTAGAGTGGGAGGGAGAGAGAGGAACAGAGAGAGAGAGAGAAACATCGATGTGAAAGGGACACATCGAGTGGCTGCCACATGCACAACCGACCAGGGCCGGGGACAAACTGCAACCGAGGTACGCGCCCTTAGCGGGAACCGAACCCGGGTCTCTCAGGACCGCAGGCTGACGCTCTAACCGGCCAGGGCGAAAGTATTTTTTTTTAAATGCTCATCCAGGCTTCAAAAATTTTTGTGAGTCCATTATGTGTTGTATTTTCTTATGCTGATAATCAGCATCACAGTGATGAGCACCAATGTACAACTACTATAATCTTGGAAAGTACTAGCATTCTATCCTTTTATTTATCTTAAGGTTCTCCATAGCCTGATTTTTTTTTTGATGTCTATGCTGAGTGTTATTTGGAATATGTTTCTACTCAGCAAATTTTTATATACATAGAGGGTCACCTAGCGAGTCTGGGGAATACGCAAAATAGATGCAGGCATATCTAACCCCAATGTGTCCCAGATGGTACCCTAAGAATCTGATTTTTCATAGTCAGTTTTAATTTTCTTGTTTGGAATACTTTCACGGATGCCCTTTCAAATGACATAATAAACTACTTTGCCCATTAGGCATATACACATTTTAGGTCTAAATATTTATATCTCTAACTTTATGTTATCTTGTTTTCATACTTTCACAACCCTAGATAAATTAAGTAGCTCCACTCCAAAGAGTTCCATGACGGTCTTGATAGGCCGGGAATCATGCTTGGCCCTGAGGATGTAAGAACAGGGGCTTTGTAAAACCTGCTTTTGTAGGAAGGACTGACACAAAGTAATCATACAGTTTGGTACAAGTCAGGACCACTGAGTGAACAAAATGCTATGGAGTACAGCGGAATCGAGGAATAACTGTCTGCTCCGTGAAGTGCCCACAGAAGAAATACAAAGGCAGTTGGGTAACAGAGAATATGGCATTTTCGGAAAACCATATTTTGTTTGTTTTTAATATAAAACTGGAGCACAGGGAGTTGTGAAAGGCTAGACATGAGACTGAGACCACAGGTTAGTGAATGCAAGACTATGAAGAACCTGCCTGACCTGTGACAAAATTTGATCTTTGTCCTACCAGCACTCAGGGAGGGGACAAGCCTAGAGCAGAGTGATGCGAGAATGCAAAAAAGCACACGGTCGTGGGGCCTGGTGGGAGAGGGAATGGAAAGGAGGAGGTGGAACAGCTCAGATCAGACAAAGGCCACACAGAGCAGATGGGATGGAAAGAGAGGACACAATTTATGCTCCTTAGATTTCCATCCATACAATCCAGTTCAATTATGCAGTCAGGGAACAAATGGTAATGGAAAAAAACAAAACAAAGACAGAAAGATCATGAACACCTGGAAAATATAATGGATTAAACTTTCTTTAAAGTCTCAGACTCTGTGCAGGAATAGATGGACTAATAAATCACAGCCACCCTCTTAAACCTTTTAAATGTCAGTAAGAAAAGCAAGCATGTAAACAAGGGAGATATATGAACTGTGTGTTTAACATAAGGAAATCCTACAGAAAAAAAAGAGACAAAAGCAGAAAATAAAATAATATTGTACAATACAGAATTGTGACCTTATACATAGGTATATCTATAAAATAAGAACATCTCAAAATAGTTATTTTTAAAGTAAGTGGATTCTTATCTCTCTCTTTTCTCTATTCTACTAGCCTTTTGCCAGGGTTGTTTACAATTCAGGTTTGTTTTGGTTTTTTTGTAACTAAATGTCAATTGATACTGGTCTACTTAAGCTCAAATAAAAAAAGAGATTGGCAAAATACATGTAAAAAGAGCATGTTTTAACAATTTGGGGCATAATTAAGAATGATACTGACCTGATATTATAAGTGTACTATCTAACTACAGATTTTGAAATGATATACCTAAAATGATATACCTAAAATGGTTGTCCATTTGCCTAGCAAAATATGAATCTATTACATTCAGAAACGATATCATTCATGTTTCCATCTCAGGGCCTAGCCTTGTACATGGCATTGTAAAGGCACTCAACTATCATTTGTTAAATGAATAAAAAAGTAGTTGGTATCAAAGAGGTTCTCCATTTGTGCCTGCTTACCTTAATCAAAAACTTTTCCACTGTGAAGAGTATAATAACACACAATACTGTTTTTTTCTTAATGAAGTGCGTGCCTGTGTGTGTGTGTGTCTGTGTGTATGAAAGAACATTCTGTACCATCTTTCTCTAAAGGTATAAGGAGAGAGATGGGTCTGGGGGAAGAAAATACTCAACAGGAATAAGGTAATTTTCAGTTGATTTAAAAACAAAACACAAAAAAATTAGAATAGAGTAGATAACGATAATTAAAACAATGGATACACAGATGTCTGCTTGGTATCTCCCCCCCCCCCCCCCCAAAAAAAAACCCAGGAGACTCAAAAGCTTTGGAGTAGTACTCTCAGACTCTTAAAATTATGAGGAAAAGAAAAATGTTCAAATTCCAATAATTTCACACCATATGAAAAATGACAAGGCATTCCTATTTTTCTCACAATTTAACCCCCTTTGGAACCTGGGAATATTTCAACAGCAGTATTTTTAGAAAGCACACATTTCGCTCATAGCAAGGGGTGAGGGGCAGGACTCATAACCACACGTAGGCACAGAAAAGACTACCTTGCATTTTTAAACAGTTCCGTCTTACTTAGCTAACCGAACTTTGGAAATTAATCTTTTAAAATAACCCAGATAAATATCAAGGTCAAAGTAACACAGAAGTTCCTCAGTTTCAAACCAAACTTGTTTGGAACAGAGCTAAAAACCAGGAATCCAACACACAGACGTTAAGTGTCTACCTACTTTATGCCAGACCTAAAACAAACAAACCTCGGGGCCATGAAAAAAGGGACACATTAACATTCTAGAGTTCAAATGATTTACAGAGAGCAGAGCCCCTATCCTGTATCTTACAGTCTTTGTTTTTATTGGATTCTAACAAGATTCCCTAACCCACAGCAGAGAAGCGGCAGAAAATGGCACAAGTACACACAGACTCACTCACCAGGTATGTCCTGCATGCTTTTCAGGTGCCAGGCACTGTTCTTGGTGCTAGGGGTGGAGCAGTGAACATACAGACAAAATCCGTGCCCTCACTCCTTCAGAACCCCTGTCTGGATGCCCTGCAATCTCCTGGGCTATTGTGTTTATAAAACAGATTTCTGGGCCTCATTGTGAAGGATGCCAATTGGCGTGGGGTCCAGGAATTCACATTTTCAACAACTGACTCCCCCGTCCCCAGGTTGCTCTGGTACCGGTGGTCCACCTACCACATTTTTGATAAAGAATAGTCCAAAAGCTTTCCATACTCAGCTAAAACCAACAACTGAGAGTTGAATAGGGAAACAAAGGATCTGGTCAGAAGGCTCTCCACTTAATAGCTGAATGTGTTAAGTGTTGATACTTAAAGGGTAGATATTAGTTATTTAGAAACTCACTCCTGTGAAACATGACCTATCTCCCAACCCAATGCCAGGCAGAGCCCCCAGGAGCACGCTGAGCTCCGAGCAGTGTGGGGCCAAGGAAAGCATCCCGTCTGGTCTGGTAGCACGCACTGCAGACGGAGGCACAGACATGCCGCCGGCCTCTCCCAGTCAGTCCTTTGTGTGGTAAGAATACAGCTTCCTGTATGGCCAACAGATAGACACACAGAACAGTTCCACACTGCACTCAGACACAGGGGAGGGGGCACAGCCAAGGAGAGGACAGCTCTTCCCTCTTCCCTCTCCCCGAACAGCAGCTGGGGCCAGCCTCTTACTCTGCCTTTTCACCCACACATCATTACTGTGGCAGCATCAGAAAAATCTGGAAATGTTAAAGGACTGTGCACAGCTTCTGTAAGTGCCTTCCGGAGGTTTGCCCACTTCTCCACAGGTGCGGGAGTCTGGGATTCCTTGCCACTTCCAGAAAGAAGGGGATCTCTGATGCTGACCACACCCCTCGTAGTAATTCTGAGCATCCCTAAACACAAGATCACTTAATGGGAGGCAGTTCCCGACTGGGATGCCCCGGTATCTAAACAGTGCCCCCATGTCACTGTCCACAGGGACTGTCCACCCTACTTGCAGAGAGCCGAGGATCTCCCTCCCCTCCTTCCTCTCCATCCCACTCAGCTGCCTGAGATTACCTTCCCACGCCACAGTCACCTCCACTGCACAGGTGTGCTCTGCAGTAGAGACACTAGCAATATTGCTGAAGACAGGGAGAGAGAACATGTTCTCTTTCCACATTGACATAAAACTGCTGGTTCCAGAGGCGGGTCCACCAACCAGCCTTGCTCTCTATGGCACCTCGTTAGTCTTCCCTTCCTGGCATGTTGTTCCTCACCTCCAAGCCCCCTGGACACAACGCCTTTCCCTTGAAATGGGATCAATTCATACTTCAGTCCTCTAGGTGTGACTTGACTTTGAAGGACTAAATAAGAAAATAATATGGAACAAAAAGGAGTCTTTTACCTACCCACTCCCTTCCCCACT